TCTCCCTAATTTAACAAAGACCTACATAGTTCTCTAGAAAAATGCACACATTCATAGCAAGTTGTGTCACGCACTGGCAGGTACTCTGCTTGTTCGTTTTGATCAATACCTCACTAGGTATTTGTATGCACTTGTTGACGAAGGGCCTGTATGACATACTCAGGCCAGACAACCTGTGATTTTTCGTTCAACCTTTAGCAACACGATTCAGGCCTATGCATCGATCAAGCTTATCGACTCAGACGCCGTGTTTGGTCTCTAGGTCCCACTAATTCGGATTTGTCTGGTCAAGATCATATGATCCAAGGTGTCGAACAAACAGTTCGACCACAATTATACGGCAGTAACTCGCGCGAAACGGATGCCATGCAGGGGTCTTGTTTGAGCGCTGCGGATCGGAAAAAATGACAGTTGGCGTCACTTGAGAATAGTGAGAATGCCAGACAACGGTCCCCGTGATGTGCCACACCCTTCGGATACTGTGCTATTTCTGCCTCACTCAAGCTCTAATCTTAGCGGAACACCAAACCGACACTGTAAAGCAAAATCTACTCGTGTTTTCAAACGTGAAAATCTTATCTACTTCCGCTCAGAAATATGTAGATCAAAGTTAGCTTCCATATGAGCTGTTTCCAACGGGTATCGAGTGCTCTAAGAGGATACACGTACGGATATTTGAGAGCTTTCTAGACACGAGAGATAAATACCAATGCACTCAAGTCAGAGTACATCTATGCTGCGAAGCAGGTACACGATTTCGAGACCAATCAAGCAGAAAATTTAGTTATTAGTGTCGTGATCCGCGTGGAAGTGGAAATGATCCCAGATTAGCTCGTTTGAACAACGGGAGAACGATAGTTTTTCCCCTGATTAACAAACGTTTTGGAAAGGATACTGAGAGCTAATGTTGGATGGTTGGTGATGGCTGTCCCCTTCGGATTTCGTAAAATTCCAGATAATCCTCGAATAAATGATCTCAGATACCTTTTAGAAAAGACTGACTGTTTGTTCGTCATGCCCTAGAGGGATCAAGCTGAACCGTAATCCATTCAATTAATTTCTCTGATCACCCGTTTGTTGCCATTCGCGTGGAATCTAACGCAGTGTAATACACCAGCAGCGAGTAGATTTACGGGATGACACCATTCTGTACATCGCTGACGGCAACAGTATCTTGTTAGGTATAAGATAACGGATCTCATGATTCGTTGAAACAGACCTAACTTGACACCGACCAATTAATCCAAGAGTTCACTGTCACTTTTGTCCTTACGGCTTATGGCAATTCGGTCGGAGAAAATCCTGGAGTCAAATTGCCAAGTCTTCCATCACAGCTGGACTTTCATCCGGGTGTCTAAGAGACCGGGAGGACCATGTAGACTGAAGGTTCTGGGGACGTTGCTGAGCAGTTCTCATATTCTTGGGTTATACTTGCAGAAAAAACTTGAGTTTGAGAACGTCATTGTAGTATAGTTAAGACATGACCTACGTAGGTAGGCTACGAAATATGCCGCTTTGATTTGCTGTTTTTATTTTGCGTTTCACGATTACTGCAAAATGACGTCATTCCGTTAGTATGTTTTTTTCTCTCACTGCATCGATACGTAAGTTACAGTTTGTCTTTAGAATAGCCGGGCCCTATTGCAGTGACTAATATCGAGACAAGCGCCGGTCAATACAAATCACACATATGCTTCCCTCACCCATCGTGTTGTGCTACCTAGACCAGTAATCTCGATGACCACGTCTGCAAACATGTTGCAAACTGAAAAATTCCAGTGTACGCCGCGTCTAACTGAGGTTGTTTCCCGACCAACATTCTCGCTGCCTTGAGCTCTACGCACTAAACCGGATCATCAATTCGGACTGTGGAATAAACGACTTCAATGCCAAACTTAAACGCTCGAATCGCGATACGTGAAACTGAGTGAATCTTGCTTTAGCACCCGTGCGGAAACTACTTGGACGGCGCTCAATTTATCTCCATGTTAATCCAGCATGAAGAAAACAAACTACCCGAAACCTAATTGGAGGACAACTTCTGAGTGCCGAAACGCTGAAACAGCTAAAACGACAATGTTTCATATGACACGAGTCATTAGGTTGATAAGAACTACCGGACACCAAACTGCCACCTTCGCCCTTTTGGGAGGAATCCGGTAGGCATAGCCAACACAAACGGAAGATTCAGTTGCGCCTCACGTTAAAACCAATTTAATTCGTAAGCGAGAGGAAGGAGTTAGTGGGAATGACGCATTAGTTGGTTGATGGCAGCTGACATGCCGTACCGCTACATTGACGATCGCTCTTTTATTGGATTTAACTTAGCTTGCGACCGTTCAGCCTAATACATATGAACCCTATCATTCGGCTGAGTATACCGTAGTTGCTAGATGGCACAAGAGGCATCCGTTTGTAGGACCCGGATCACTGCAACTGACACGCCGTTTACCGGTTCAACAATTTCTCTTCCTCAAGTAAACATCTTCGAGGATCCAAAAAATCGTTCTTCTGCAAAGGTATTCACTCTTGGAAGCGCTGCAGAAAAAGGGCCTGTAGAGGAGAATTTCGGTAGCTCAGTTAGCGCAGATGGCTGCTGCTTTGTTCGTTCAATGAACAAAGGAACCGAAAGGAATGGTATTGCAGCTTTGGACAACAGGGATGCGAAATCTCGGCTGTAGTAGTTTGCTTCAAATTGTTTTTGCGAGTGGGCGATAGATTATCTGTTACATAGGAGCAAATGACCTAGATGTTCAATGCTGGCTAGTAGACAGCTTACTCCGTCGTCCAGGTGAGTGAAACCGCTTAATCCATGGGAGGCTTACGTCGTTTGTCAAAGTCTGTGTCGGTCTTTAGGTAGATGGAAGAGCGTGTCTTCAATCAAAGAGTAGTTGAACGAAGAAAGCTTGTCATTGTTGTTTTGTTCCTTCTGTATGTACTTTTCACAAGGGCCGCCCGGCATTCACGTCCGCTGTTCCCTACATCGTGCAACAAGACAATTCGTCAGTATGCGACGTAGGGAACTTTCGCAATAGCCGTCAATTCCCGTCACGCTAGGTAGTCGTGGCCGGATGGCATTATTCAGTTAACTTAACGCGAATAGGAAACCTTGGTCACGAACATGCATTCAAATTTAACAATTTCGGTGATAAGGAACACGAAAAATATCCAGTCGTCATGCGTCCCTCAACCATCATTCTTAATCCGTAAACCAGCTGTGCTACATTCCGATATGCTCCTAAGCTCACTCGCTTGCCAAGCCATAACAAGTCCAATTAGGGAGAACCCGCTGGTGTGGAGAGGGATCAGTGACGTCCATGATATAAACTATTTGAAGTAATAATCGCTTAGCAATTACGGGTCAATGACGCATGATACTTCCAACGTATTCTTTACTTTATGGGAGTTTGCGGGAACAACAGACACATTTTCGGTTCTGAGGGGTTTGCTCCCTCCAGTAGAGACTGGAAAGGAAAAGAATGGCGTGCTACCGAAATCGTCTCGTGAATGTTGGTTTCCCCTCGGGGGGGGGGCGCAAGTTCCTGCGGCGGAGGTCGCAGATGAGTAGTCATTCAACAGGAGGCGAACGACCCCATCGCATACAAAGTCAAAGTTTAAACGTTTAAAATCCAACTGTTCCCTAGAAGAATCTGGGATCGTTTCAGATCTTATTGCCACAGTGCAACAAGCCTATGATGAGGATCTCGTCCCAAAAAGAAACATTTCGGTACCCCGGAAGAGGTCCCCTCGAAAGCTTCTACTTTGAAGTAGCTGTTGACTGTGCTGTACCCGAAATTCCGACACAAGAATCCACAGAATGTCATTATTCTCTCTATTCCCCCGACATGAAAACAAGAGGTACTTTGTGGGCATTGAGAACGGGGGGGGGGGGCAAGTTCCTGCGGCGGAGGTCGCAGATGAGTAGTCATTCAACAGGAGGCGAACGACCCCATCGCATACAAAGTCAAAGTTTAAACGTTTAAAATCCAACTGTTCCCTAGAAGAATCTGGGATCGTTTCAGATCTTATTGCCACAGTGCAACAAGCCTATGATGAGGATCTCGTCCCAAAAAGAAACATTTCGGTACCCCGGAAGAGGTCCCCTCGAAAGCTTCTACTTTGAAGTAGCTGTTGACTGTGCTGTACCCGAAATTCCGACACAAGAATCCACAGAATGTCATTATTCTCTCTATTCCCCCGACATGAAAACAAGAGGTACTTTGTGGGCATTGAGAACGAAATTCTTATTTGCCAAAAGTCTGCAAATAACAGCTGCCCTCACTTAATAGGAAAAAATTGAGTGTGTGCCCAACTGTTGCCTGAATGAGTCACCTACTATATGGGTTGTGCAGTAGCCCGACTGAATAGGCTTGTTTCATCGCTTCTGGTGGTGACTGCCGAGAAACCCTAATTGGGTTGTCTCTGGAAATCCTTTTCTACTGGTAAGCTAAAGAGATGAACAGGATAACCTTTACTGAACGGCTTCCTCAAATGTTTGCCCCGGGAATTCGAGCTACCCACATCACCCTCAATACCAAATATCCGAGCGAATCCTGAGTCAGTCTTCATACTACACGTTCAGTTGAAGGGAATCACAAGACAAGCAGGGGCTTTAAGCTCAGGTCTCAAGTTTTCATTCACGGGACAGCCTAGCACAACAATACTTTACGCCGCAGTCACTCCGATAACATTGTTAAAGTAAGACAGTTTACCTGAGAACAGTTCGCCTAAAAGCAACTGGTTGCTGGCCGATAAGACTGAGTGGTGATAACGATAGGCGGTGTTCAGAGGTTGCAATGAACACTATACCTCACTGGTACAATCCACTACCACATAGAAAAGCCTGATATTAGATAGCGACAGGTGAAAATAGCTTTTATGCGATGGAACCAAGACCGACACAAGCGCGAGAGCCAATATTGTAAAATAAAAGGACACTTAGAAAAGACGGGGCTGAACGCACCAATTCACACTAGACGTTCCATTTGGAAAGCAGTTCATTATTTTGCTTCCGGAGCGGGGGGAGGTACGATAATGACTGCGACGTGTGAGTGGTGCAAAACATAGTCACTAACACTTCCAAGGAAGGTACGTCGAAACAGCCCAGCGCCGCGATTCCCCATAACCACTAGGTCCGCTTTATGCTCACCGATTGACTTGACTATGGCTTGTCCGGGGTTGCTATCTACGTGCAGAAAAGCTTGGCAACAGACGTTGGCTGCTTTAGCCTTGTGCATGCATTGCTGACAGAGACGCTTTCCAGCCTGAATGCTTTCCTCCATCACACGGGCCATATCGGGTAAGGGGGGAGATTCCATAGCCATCCCAATCGCAGGCGTTGTATAGACTGGCTCAATCACGCTGACGAATTTCACAGTGTCAGCGTCCTGCTTCATATTGTCCACATACCAGGCAAACGCGCGCTCTGAATGGGAGCTTCCATCCACAGGAAATAGAATCACTCGCGACTTCTTCTCATCAGATTGCGGAGAGACCTGATTCGCAGGCTGCGCCATTGCCGTGTGGTTCACGCAACGTCAGTCGAAGCAGTTATCCGCGTGTGACATCGACCGGTTGGTCGACCGATGATTCGTCCACCATCCTAGCACTCTGATTGGCCATGTCGTTGACTGCATGTCGTCTGTCAGTACACCACCCAATAACCACCGACAGGCTGGCGGTGGCGAGACAATGAACACGTGCAAGTGCACGACCATGTGGCCTGAACGTGTATAGCAGGCTGGTGCACTTCAAGCGTCCCAACCCGCCATCTGAGGCGGGATAACCTTACTTGCATGCTCCAGGAGAAAGGAACGGACAGGACCTCGGTGGTGAGTTTTTTGGACAGCTTGGGAACGAAATTCTCCCACAACGACTAAGTCATCTGCTGTTTCCCAAACAACATCCAATCTCAACACGCTGTAGGGCCCATTCCTTTTGGACAGCGTTTCGTACCGCATATACCGGAACCATTGCAGGCGTCCTTGATGAGATGTGGCATGACGTAGCAGTGTTTCCGGATATTGGGTACTTTAATTACTGCGTTATGACCTTACGGTCCTCGTTCCGCCCCTTCTCTAATCTATCCGTAAAATTCTAGCCTTCGAAAGCAGACTTCGGGAGCGAAAAAACGGTACTCAATATCTAGGGTCACTTAGGAAATTGAATCCCCACAGTGCATATTACCGCAGAAGTCCTGCAGTAAGGTGATTAGATTAAGTGAGCCATCGAATATAGGCTCGGACCCCGTGCGAGCGCATTTTTATGTATACCCATAAGTTAGCTGGTCTTGGGATTGATACCCAGTATATACCCAACAAGTTCTGGTGCGAAATAAATGACTAATTGAATTTGTGCCTTAATGCCGCCTGTCCATTCGTTTACGGCTAGCATCAGATATCCATGGATAAAAGGGACTGACGAATTTTTCGACTGGGCTCCTAAGTCTCAACGGAAAGAGATGCTTGGAACCAGGCGGAAGCCATCAGCTATCCTGAACCTTGATTCAGCGCTCGCACGTCAAATTTGAGATAGTTCCAAAGGTGTCATGTTACTAATTCTCGGCAAGCATAATTCGCGCAAGAGTGGGTCATTTAGTCGACAGCTCACTTTTGACACGGGAGGCCTCATACCTTCAGCGTACCTGTATTTTTAAAGTAAAGATAAGATCGGATGCCAAAAGACTAAACCAAACGGGCACTCTTCGTTGTTAATGAGATTCATCTGGTAGGTGTAGGTGAACCGGATAGGTTTTATTTTCAAGATATTTCTGAAGCACGCGCCTGCCGACCAGCTCGTGTGGCTAGTAGGTTTCATTTCTGTAAAAGAACAATGAGTCGTCGAGAAATACACTCATTTGCAAATCAATTTGGTTTTCAGGAGAGACTCAACTAAATCTCTCGTTATGATATTCTACAACTGAATGTGCTGCACACGGGCCACCTCATGTTTCAGTTGGCACGATATTCGAGATATCGCAGTAGAATATCGCAGTATAATATCATAAAGGAGAGATTCATTTGAGTCTCTCGTGAAAACCAAATTGATTTGCAAATGAGTGTATTCCTTGAAGACAGTTCAATTTGGGTTCAAGTAGAACATAAGGTTGACAGACACTCGGGAGCTGCGCCTAGCTGATGAGCCCCAAGAAAGGCGAAACCGGTCGTGGGCTGTCGAAGAGTTTTCAGCAACCTTGTGAGTAGTTTCCCTTATGAAAACATTGAGTCATCCTAACCAAATGTGCGGAAGTGACTATCCACAAACTTGTTGTATGAAAAGAAGATTCGGTTTACTGGTTTAAAAGCAAACGGATGTAAAATGGTTGGTTCTTGCTGGACAACGTAGGATCCAGTTGCGAGTTGCTGATTTGGTCGAACACTACACCCACACACCTAGAAACAGTCGGCAGACAAAATATGTCGTTTTCAAAACCGTCAGATTCGAAAACTATTCACAGCCACTTCAGTTTTCTATTTCAACTTCTCTGGGTATTTGAGACACACTTTGTCTGAGTAAAGCGGTTACACTTGTTAATCACAAATAGTTTTTCCTGTCACGTCTGAAAGCAGGGCATCCAATACGCGGCCAACCTGACGAAAGATTCATTTTAAAGCCTCCTAATATTTCATTGAAGATAATCCCACCAAATTATTAAGATTGCATCGTGGGAATCCTAATGACCTGACCTGATGTAGAGCTAGAGTTCCACATAGTGTTCATCGGGCTGTCGTAAAACCCGAAGCGTCACACGGCCCTCAGGACACTAAATTAATATCGACTCACCTATGGACTTATGTATAAAAGTATTTAGGGCTATCTTTGGAAACTCCTTGACGCATCGTATGACAAGTCCCGGAGGTACTAACACGATATATGCATGTTTATATAGTAGCATAATCTGGATGAAGGACCAGAGCCATCCGCTGTCAACTAGCGTCAGAAGTGAAGCTATAGAAACCGTCTGATACAAATAAATGAAATCTGAACTAACTTAGACAGCAAGAACGTGATCGCATTGAGAGATAGACTAATATTGACTAAGTTGCTGGGTTGCTTGCTGGTCAATGAATCAACACATTATTTCATTCAATACGACCGCCCCATTTTAGTTGTGCTTATGCTTACGCCAAGTGTTTATTTCACAAGACCACGGAACTCACTAGGCAAGAGAATCAGGTTGCGTACTTGCTTTGGCCGGTGCTGTGTGATGATGCCTTAATAGGATACACTGCAAATTTCCGTTTTGACCATGTCGTTCTGAATATCAGAGCATCACAAAGGGAACCACAGACAGGAAACAGCACGGGAAACTGCACTTGTTTCCTGAGAGAGCAACCCCACCTCAAAATACACCCAGTAAAAATTTCCAGGACTACACATGCCTTTCAACGTCGCTCTACTGCCGGAGGATGGACAGCGAAGGTGTGCCCATCAGTCATTGGAAAACGGCGCCAAAAATCAGTCTCAGAATCTAAAAGAAGTTTGATTTGATCAATTGGTGAGAAAGTATCAAACATTAAAAAAACGACCGTGTATAAATTAGAAGTATATTCAATTGTACTACCTCGCCCAAAAAGATCCCAATGATATTTACGGAGTTATTTTTATCTTACAGCCTTTCAGTGTGCACTCCAGTCTGTGCATGACACGCGTTAAAAAGCCAACAATTTCCGTATTCAGTTTGAAGTTGCTTGGTCTTTAACATCTTAAAGAGACCTTACCTTGAAATAACGCACTGTGCATATGTAACAACCCCTCATATATCCCTCAATTTAGTTTGCAAATGAGTGTATGTTCGCTAATATCGTGCAATTTGGTTTCAAGTAGAACAAGGTTGGTGGAAACCCGGGGACTGCGCCTACCTGATGAGCCCCAAGAAGGGCGAAACCGGTCGTGGGCTGTCGACGAATTTTTAGCAATCTTATGATTAGTACATTACAAAGCCCCTCATGTACTTTTTTTACCGAACACGTTCCATTGAATACTGCTGGGGACTAGAATCTCGGCACCAATTAAGTTTGGGTTGCTTATCACTTGGACCTTTTCAGTCTCTCATTTCCGCAGTGTTTACAGAACCGCATGGACTGATGGAATGAGTCAACTCAAGTAAAGATAGGGCAGAAATAGTATAGGGTATTCTGCTTTCGTATGCGTTTGATATTGAGGTTTTAATGTGCGGCAGACATAGTTCAGGCCCCGCTGTATGCGTCCGATCTTGATGTGGCACGAGTGTGGTCTGTCCAGTAGTTCATCCGAGGCATGAACTGTGCGTCCCATACTGTCACATCACCCTACTTTACTTGACGGCTATAATATGCATACAGCACGTACTGATGGCTTTGGAAAGGACTTCTAGTTTTACCAGTTGTCTCGGTTCATCTGGTTTAAACAATCTGATGTGCACTCATAGAGATTCACACACAACTTTTCACAAACTGGCACATGGTACTAGTTACCCAACTTGAGTATATATATTACCTGATGCGGAAAGTAAATCCCCAAAAGGGTATTAGACTTATTATGCCTTATATCTTAATCTAAAGCTATTTTTCCTGTAAAAAATGGCAAGCCGTATGACCTATCATTCAGTCTCACTATGATTATGGCCCGCCATCTAAACCCTTAATGTATGCCTACTTCATTAACACCGATTTCTGATGCATGCGAGATGCTCCAAAACAAGGTTAATCATGGTCGTACTATTTGGTTGATTGGTTAAGTTAAAGGCAAACTTCCATAAAATGATAATGTTCGTACTTCGAAACCTAACCAGATGACTGATATATTTGTCGTAGCATTGGGTTTAATTATGATTAGCTGAGGGTAGAAGTTTTGAGTAGAATTGCCGATTTATCGAAATTCCATAAACAGCCGTTCTACCGGAAAATTAAACCTGATGGGCCGGTCACAATTAGCCGAATCACACACTGTATATCTCATAATTGTAACTGATAATCTAAATGCTTAGGAACATTTAAGTGTGATAAAACTGAGACGAACAGAGTTGGTTAACGACTGACACAGTGGCCCGCCTGAAGTAACCACGTTTTGATCAGAAAGCCTGATAATGTGAATTAGTCGGATAGGAATCTGCCTGAGGCCCTGTGCTGCGTGATTCCGGGCTTGAACGTTGTTGTGTCCCTTAGTGGTGGCATGCTAGGTAATTTCATAAGAGAAACTACTCACAAGATTGCTGAAAACTCTCCAACAGCTCACAACTGTTTTCACCCTTCTTGGGGTTCATCGGGTAGGCGAAGTCTCCGAGTTTCCATCAACCTTACGTTCCACTTGAACTTACATTGGACTGATTTCAACAAATATACTCGTTCACAAATCAATTTTGTTTTCACGGGTGATTAAATTGAATTCCTCGTTCATGCTATTCTTCAACTGAATGTACTGAACAGTGGCCGCCCAGTGTTTCAGTTGGTACAATATTCGCAGCAGAATATCGCAGTATATCCTCCTAGAGGAGACTACTCGCAGGTTTGCTGAGAGCATTCGTCACAATTTGTCC